AAAAAAGCATATTTGAATGATGATCAAGTCTATATAGGAGGTCATCATCACCTATATCTCTTCTTCTTCTCTTTCTGAGGAGATACAATCTCATCTTCCTTTCCTAGGTTGCCTCCCATGGCAGGCATGTTGGCTTATTAACACTACCTGGTTTATTTATCCCATCAATACTCTTCTTCTTCCCCTCACCATCCCTACTTATCAAGTTCAATTCAACTCACTTTGATTATTCACTCTTCTGCAATTACAGGAGACATATAATAATAAGGGCGAGATATATGGCACGGGAGATTTGTGAAGATAAATCAAGGAGCTTTGTCTACTCAGATGATTCATCTACTAATCCCACAATCAGTACCCATCTGGTTAACCAGATCCAAGGCTTTGATTCCAACCCAGAGATCTTCAACTTGACCACAAGCATGGAGATGATAGGATTCTCAAAGAATCATCATCATCATCAACCGGGTGATGCCACAAGCTCTGCTCATTTATGGAGGACTTTCTTTAACAAGCCAGGAAACAACGCTTCCTCTTCAAAACCAACAACATCAATCAATGAGTCGACTAGTGATTTCTACCAGAACGAGTTCAACACAAGTGGTGAGAATCTACTGGTTGGACATGACTCCGCTCCATGGCAAGACAACAGGCAGCAGCTGCTCGTAGATGATTCTTCTTTGAGGTGTGTTTTCCCTTGCGAAGGAAATGAAAGACCAAGTCAAGGTCTTTCTCTCTCTCTTTCTTCGACCAACCCAACTAGTATTGGCTTACAGTCTTTTGAATTGAGACAAACCAGTCAAAACAATCATGATCAAGGAGATGATATGAGGTTTATGGGTTCAAGTTGCTTCTTTAACAAATCTGCAAACATTCAACAATTGATTCATCATCAAGGACAGTTTCAGCTAAGAAGCTCCAAGTATCTGGGTCCTGCTCAGGAGCTTTTGAATGAGTTTTGCAGCCTTGCGTCGTCTAAACAAACCGATGTATCAAAGCCAAAGATCAATAAATCCAAACAATGGGATGATGAAGGTTCCAGCACTTGTTCAAGAAAACAAGCCCTGCATTCTCTTGAATTTTTCGAATTACAGAAAAGAAAAACGAAGCTGCTTTCAATGCTAGAAGAGGTATGCGTTTTTTCTGCTTTCAGTTCCTGTTTTTTGGGCAACTCCAAAGATCCTTCCTTTTTCCCTTTCTTTACAACAAAAGTATAATGAAAGATTATTTTAAAAAAAAAAAAAAAATGTACGCTTCTCGATCAAAAAGAATAAATATATAAAAAAGTTTTCAACTTTAATTCTACTGCTTTTTCTTTTCTTCTAAAATTCAATTGAGGATTGATCGGAGATGTTCAGAATTTGTTTCACGAACTAATTTAGCGACTTGGGGGCCTGCCCATTAATGCCCATATAGTGACAATTCTTGCTTTTCATTTACTTTCAGAAACTCTATTCCTTTTCTTTTTCAGTTTACATACACCATACCCACACATAAAACTGTAATTAATTCTCCTAGAAGCTCAAGTGTTTATTATGGATGTTTTAATTAGGTGGACAGAAGATACAGAAACTACTGCGATCAAATGAAGGCCGTCGTATCATCTTTCGAAGCCGTCGCGGGTATCGGAGCGGCGGCGGTTTACTCAGCTTTGGCATCAAAAGCCATGTCAAAGCATTTTAGATGCTTAAGAGACGGAATAATTGATCAAATTCATGCGACAAAGAAGGCGATGGGTGAGAAAGACCCAGTGGCACCAGGCACCACAAGAGGTGAAACTCCAAGGCTTAGGCTGCTGGATCAAACATTCAGACAACAAAGAGCGTATCAGCAGATGAGCATGATGGAGAGTCATCCATGGAGGCCGCAAAGGGGATTACCAGAGAGATCTGTATCTGTTCTTCGAGCTTGGTTGTTCGAGCATTTTTTACACCCGTAAGTTCACATATATATTCTTTATTTCTTTCTTTCGTTTGGGTTTTCTTTTTTTTAAAGAAAAAAAAAAAACTTGCTGTATTTTAATTTTGAGTCAAGTACCACCATTTATTTGTTTGATGTAGTATTGAATATATGTTTTCACATGTATGTAGAGTCTCAATCATTTTGTTTGTAAAAACAAGGCAATCTTTTGTTAGTTTGTTACCCACCACAGCATTTGAGGTTCCTTCCTATCATTTTTTTTTTTCCTCTCATATTATTTTCAGCCATTTACGTTTAACTCCTTTGCTTTCCTAAATCGATATATCTTCTGTTAGTTTCGTGTGGATTTCATTCTGCTGCATAGGACCCATCTCTCTCTCTCTCTCCCTCTCTCTCTCTCTCTCTCTCTCTCTCTCTCTAAAAGAGTCAATGAGACAATCATCTAATAGGTTCTAAAAATTTGATCTTTTGAGTATTTAATGAAATCTTGAAATCTTTTGCAGGTACCCAAGCGATGTCGATAAACATATCTTAGCTCGCCAAACTGGTCTTTCAAGAAGTCAGGCATGTTTTCATCTTTGATCTCTAATATTATTCTATTTAGGCCTTCCATTCCATGAATAAATTAGTTTATATTATCAATGGGGAAACGTATATATACCTTATTAGAATCCGTAGCCTCTTTTTCTAAAATTAAATAATATAGTTTATGTCGTATTGGCATATTATACTATATACCCTTTTGTTCTTACATGGGTTTTCAATATATATACACGTATTACGTATGTATAGGTGTCCAATTGGTTCATTAATGCAAGAGTAAGACTGTGGAAGCCAATGGTTGAAGAAATGTACTTGGAAGAAACAAAAGAGGAAGACGACAAGATGAACAACAAGGCCTCCTCGGATGATGTTGATGACGACAATGGCCGGCCTAACAATCAGAATCTAATTCATACAGATGAAAAGCCCACACCCGACCAACTTCTTCGGATTGATTCAGAATGTCTCTCCTCCATCATCAATAATAGCCCTGCAGAAAAGATCAATCACCCTAAACCCACCAAAACTACCCTTCATCATCATCATCATCATCAACCAACTTTTGGCTCCTACGCTCCCATGGAACTCGACTTTTCTTCCTACAATCCTGATCATGGCTTATCTTATGATTCCACCAACCAAACCTTCAATGGTGGAGTGTCTTTGACTTTAGGGTTGCAGCAACACGGAGGGAGTGGAGGAGTGAGTCTGGCATTCTCTCCTGCATCACAAACTTCGTTGTTTTACACTACTACTAGATCAGATCACATGGAAGATTGCCAACAAGTTCAATACTCACTTTTAGAAGGTGAAGCACAACATTTGCCCTATAGAAATTTGATGGGTGCTCAGTTGCTTCATGACTTGGCTGGATAACTACGTACTTCTCATGGGACCCATTTATATATATGGCTACCTATATCACAAATATAAACATGATAAAAATTGATACTTCATACATATATATACATAAAAGTTTACACGTGGTTAATTATATATATATATATATATATAGTACATGGGATTTATATTAGATTAATTACTCCTTGGGTGGTAGCTAAATTTTACATCCTTCTTTCAACTGGAAGGACATACGTTTAATTATTATTATTATTGCTGTTTAGGTTTATTTGCACATCATGTGCCGTGTGTGTGTATTGATGCAAGCTTCTTCTTCTTCTTCTTCTTCTTCTTCTTCTTCTTCTTCTTCTTCCTTTAACCCCAAAAAAAAAAAAAAAAAAAAAAAGATAACGATAAGAATGGAAGGTTGATTTCTTTAATTTTCTCTCTTTCGGTGGAATCTATTTCTGATCTGTAGCTAAAGTGATTGAGTAGTTTGTGGCTATTGTGCCAAATGAAGTTTCAATATTTTTTTTTGTTTGGGGGGGCTGATATATATCTAGATATTTTCTTTTGTCTATAAAGACAAATCAAATTACAACTAAATATACAGTTGTATTTGGGTCATTCAATTTTTGGAGATTAAGACGATTCCTTAATTGTGGAGATCATTAAGATAATTCCAAATATATTTAGGGAATATATACACACACACACACACACATATTTTTTCAGTACTGTTGTGGTCCCTGATTCATGAAGAAGATGTCTCCTGCCCATGAGAGAGAGAATTGCCTGCTTTTTGATTTGTCAACTTTGGCTAATTGCTTTGCCCCTCCCCCCCCCCCATCATGCCTTTCTTAAACTTTTTACATACTATCTATCTAGTGTGAAATGATAGTTTTCTAAACAATCTTTAACTTACATATTATTAACTTTCTTATGATAAAGTTGAGAAGTTGGGTTTGATTTTTATTTCTAATCCCATCTTAAGAAAAATAAAATTATTTTTTTTTTTATGTTTTACTTGATCAGTGTCTTGATCTACTCAACTTAATGATCATCCAAGTTTCATGAAAATTTAAAAAGCGTTAAATCATGCATGCATCATTACAAATTATTTCGTTCCAAAGAAGAAAAGAGATAGAGGTAGCTAACAAAGTTTCATACTCATGTATGATCTTTAATATCCCATAACCAGTGGTGGCAAACAAAATCTACGAACAATATAAATTAAACTGACTTATTAAAAATCATTGCAGTTTTTTAACTGAAATTGAATCTAGTGAGATCGATTCAAGTTTTTTTTTGTTTGTCGTTCGTGTGAGGAAGGGTTAGGATTTGGTGATGAAATGCTTGTTCGGAACTAGAGTTTATATCAAATCCATAAAATTGCATTGCTGGTCAAGATATAAATCTACAGGGAAAACGTTTTGCCTTTTTTTTTTTTTTTTTTTTCTTTTTAATTTTAAATAATTTTATAAAATAATAGATAAATAATTAAAACTTAATCAAGATAGAATGTAATTTAAACATAATACTCAATAATAAATATAGAACTAACTATTTGTTAATTTAAATTTAATTAATTTGAATGGGATTAAAAATAAAATTGAAAAACTGTTAATTATGTGGATGCATTTAGGGTTTATAACTTTTACGTATGTTCTTGCCCATACTCTGTTATTTATGGATTTTCGCCGACCCATCTGAGATGAATTTCAAATAAATATCTCTCTCGTTGCAATCTAATTAGTACTATATGTGTATATAAATATACGTTTGAAGGAATAACTAGTTTTATTGATGACAGGGAGTAATAATATAGAAAAATAAAACAAAAACAAACCTAAAAGTCAACACTCTATAACAAAAATAACTTCAGTGATTCCAAAAATGTACCAGCTTCAAACATAAAAGCACAAATACAAAAATAATATGACAACTCTTGAACCATCCAAATACAAGAAGAAGATTAACCAAAGGCCTTTGACACCTACCCAAAAACCATCCAAAGACTTCAATAAAAGAAATCTAGTATAAGAGAGCAACAAAATTTAGGCTAAAAGTTTCAACCAAAAACTATGGTGGTTGAATATTACATTTTAAATTTCTAATTGGAAATAGAAGATAAAATAACTTAAAACACCTTATCCACTAATTTTAACCTAACCCTTTTTAATTGAAATATATATATACATATATATATATATATATTTAGAAACTCTATTCACCAATTTCAATTTTTATGCTAGTCACATTCGCACATTCACATCACATCTTCTCTTCCTTCCCTAGTTGTCATTCAACTTTCCATCATCATCAAGTCTCTTCTTCACTGGCAGCTGCACTTGAGCGCCTGTAATTTTCCTCTTCTTCGGGCTAACCCTTTTGTAGTTGTCCTCTCGTTTTCTTCAACTCGTACCATCGTACTTTCCTTACAGAATTTTAATTAATTAGAGGTTGGTTAGAGAATTAACCAAAGGATGCTATGTAGGAAATTGATTCCCTTATGTTCTCCCTCTTTAAGCCTTAACCCTCTTTATGCTAAGTGGTTACTATGTTTCACTTATTTTCTACTTTCGAAAGTGTTTAAAAGATTTGTTCCCAAGCCAGAGGTTATCTAAAGAATGCCTAGAAAATTTTTATTTATGCAGTTGTTTTCGTTGTAAATCATGATGGAAAAGTTGGTTTCACATTTGTTTTCATTTTTTATTTTACGTATAAGTTTGAGCAACAGAGAAAGTATAGTCATTTGATGTTTATAGCTCCGCTTCAAGTTATATTAAGTTTTATTATATATTCACAATATGAAAATATATTTGTGAAGTAGCCGTATCAGTTGGATTAGATTTAATTCAAAAATCGTATGATGTAAATAAAATAATATTTGTACGAATTTATTTTAAATTTGATGCTGAGTTTAACTTTTGTGAAACTTACTTCAGATTTAATTTATTATCATCCCTACTTGAATATTACTTGAGTAACCGATAAGTTTATTTTTTATTTTTTAGTTTACTTAAACAGTGTGATCGAATAACTTGTTTTATAAATGAAGAATTTAAATATTTCTTTCAGTCATGAGGATCGAAGGCTCCTGAATTTTTGGTAATTAATTACTTGAGCGGAATGTCAGTCTTCAAAATTAATCAAATGATGATGAATTATAAATACATACATATTATGTATATATGCTTTTGAAGCTGACATCTGGCCAATGCATTACACTTACTGTGCATATATATGGTTGTTGAAGGAGATACGTATTATAGACATATATATATATATATATATATATATATATAATGTTGTTACAACTTTTAAATCAGTTCATTGAATATCTAATTGACTACGTTTGCAGATGAAGAATTAAAAATCTTGAACTAATTCCATTAACCTTTTGTCTCTTTCTTATTTATGTCGTTCCCATAATTAGTAACTAATAATTAATAAATTAACCCATATGATCCGCTATAGTAATTTACCCTTTTAATAATCTTTTGTGGGATCTTCTATTCTATAGGGTTTAAAACTTACCGCACATAATTAATAATGTATTGTCAGAAAGAAAATCTTTGACTACGATCATAATTAAAATAAGCACATATTTAAATCAATATATGCTTTGTATTAAATCAACTATATATATATATATATATATATATATATTGTGGGCAAGTAGAAGGGTAAAAAAGAATAAAAGCAAGGCAAATCAAACATCGACTTGAAAAACTAACCCAAAAAAAAAAGATGATAAGTAGACTCATTCACAGCAAGCTATGGTGAAGAAAATAAGACCCTAAAATTTTATTTTTGTATTCAGAATTACAATAAGATATTCAAAATTTCATTGGAATTTGAATTTGTGCATAACTACATTTCTTTTGGTAAGTGTTCTCTTTATTAATTTGCAAATGCTTTTTGGGTGATCTTGAGGGAAAGATTGATTCATTATTCTTTAACGTAATGATGACTAAAGAGAACAAATGTACGTGTGACCACAACCCTCCTTTATATCCATATGTGTTTGCAAGTGTAAGTGTGTGTGCATAATATGTATGTATGTGTCTCTCTCTCTCTCTCTATATATATATATATATTTATTGAATCAATAAAATAAGAAAAAGAGAGAGCATAAATTGTGAGGCAACTTGATACAAACATCTTTCGCTTATATATACCTACCACGTTAAATGTGTACTGAAGCAAGTTGTACCGAGATAAGCAATTAATGCATTATTTGTTTTTTGGTTTGAGGAAAAAGGAAAAAAAAGAAGCAAGGGACTATCTCAAATCCAACAACAAATGAAGCTTCCTTTTGTTTCTTACATGCATATTCTTTTGATTGTTTTGCTTTTCGGTTATCTCTCCTTCTTTTTTATGATTTGATAATTATAATTAACACTACTAACAAAATTATGTTCACTCGATGCAATAGTCTAACATGATGAAAAGAGCACTTAAGAAACATCAATTAGCTAATGAAACTGCTCGAAACTGGGTCAAGCCACGACATACAAATGAATGCTTCAACCTTCTAAAGCAATTGTTTAAGAATTTTCCTTAGGAATCAAAATAATGGTACCTTTAAATATGTCAATTATTGGGTCAAGCATCTTTTGTGATTACTAAAATCGTAAATCTAATTAAATGAATCAAGTATATATTTTATCAAGAACACAAGTGATAACTTGTATTGTTATTCCAAATCAACAAAGATCTTGTATTCAACATAATACAAAGAATAAATAGCTTGTACATCATTATTATCGTTACATAATAAAATAAAAAGAAAAACAAGAACACAAACTAAAAAACTAAAAGAAGTATAACACATAGTCCGTTGCACTATTTAAGATGTTTTCAGGCATAAATTTCTTTAATTATTTTGTTGTTAAGTATTATGTTGACTATATATAAATATTTGGGAAAAGTACCTTATAAGCTCCTATATTATTTGATTTTTTCCATCTAGTATGCTTATTATTATTTTTATCTATTTTAATATTTTACTTTCAAATATTTACATTATTAATCATTAACTTTAACTGTTGTTAGAGGGCTGTTAACAGTTAAACACATAGCTAACGATAAATAAAAAATATGACATGTAATCGATGATGTAGTATGTAATGTCACAGTCATCTCAAATTAAAGATTCAGAATTTTATGTAGTTCCCATGATTCCTTCATTTCTTTTTGTCATATTCTTCTTTTGAGCCCCTATACTATTGGATTTTTTTCATTTGAGCCCTTTTCACTATTTAGTTTTTTTTTTTTCAATATAAACTCTTATACCATCAAATGAATTTCAGTCGAATAGTTGTTCTTTCTAAGAG